GGGACAGATGCGTCAGCCAGCAGGGCCCGTGTAGAGAGCATGGGCCAGACCCAGGAGGAAGCAAGCAAGCAGCAGGGAAAGGCAGGCATCAAGGAAACTGGCGCGTAAGGTAGGGGGGTAGTGGTGGGACTGGCGGGCTCCGTCTGGAGTCTGAGGCTGGCAATGGGCAGGCAGTGGAAGCAGGAGTAGAAAGGGGGAGGATGACAGCCTTCAGGAGGGTAGAGATGTGACGCTAGGAAGGAGGCTTCATCGCTGATGTCATTTCTGTTCTTGCCTCTGTGCTTTTCCACGGGTCCCTCAACAATCCCAGCTGATTTGTTCAGATTGTACTGGGGACGCAGCCAATGGACACATCTGACAAATGCTTAGGGTCTGTGGGTCCATCTTGACCAACAGGGAAGAAAGTATAGACGTCTTGGCCAACTTTTTTGGAGGCAGTAAGTCTTGCATAAAAAATATTTGATGTGACCAGGGATAATGCTTCTGCCGTTGTCAGAAAAACAGAAGGGATTTGCAAGGTTACTTTCATTTATTATTTGGGAATAATGAACCAAGAAACAAATGTCACTATTCTATAAAACAACCAAACAAACAAAAAACAATACAAATAAGGCATTAAAAATCCTTAACAACCTGCACCCTAAAATTTCTAAGTGGGAACTTAGGAAAGTGTAGAGAACCCTAGTGTGACCTACTCAATACTTTGTCACTCAAAGTGTTGGCAGAGTTAGGAAGGTCTGTATGTTACACCAACATTCAATGGCTAAAGTAGGAAAGTTTTGATAAATTTAAACAATGGTATCATTGCCAAATTCTTTATTCAGAACGGCAAAATTTTTCTGTGATTCAGTGGTTCTCAACCCTAGATGCACATTAGAATCATCTGAGACAGTTTTATCTTTTTTTTTTTTTTTTTTTTCCTGAGGTATTATAGGAAAGGCAAGTGGCAGCTGCAGGTATTATGCTGACCTGAGCTGTCAAAGTCTCTCCAGGTTGCTCTCGCATGCATCTGAGACACTTTTAAAAAATACCAATGCTGGGGCCGGCATAGTGGTTAAGTTCAGGTGCTGAACTTAACAACTTCGGCAGCCCAGGATGCGCCAGTTGGATCCTGGGTACAGACCTACACACTGCTCATCAAGCCATGCTGTGGCAGCATCCCACATACAAAATAGAGGAAGACTGGCACAAATGTTAGCTCAGGGACAATCTTCCTCACCAATAAATAAGCAAGCAAGTAAATAAATAAATAAATGAATGAATGAATAAAAAAAAAATACCATTGCCTGAATCCCAGCCTGACTGAGTTGCTTAAACTGAGTTTTAAACACAAACACATCCAGCCAATTAAATCAGACTGGAGGAATGGTGGGTAGGAGGTACAAGACATCCGTATTCTTTTTTTAAAGCTTGTTCTTGCTACCTTTTTTTGTATAACAAACCACCCTTAAATCTTAGTAGCTTATTTCTCTAGGTCACAAATGCACAGTTTTGGTAGAGTTAGACAAGGACAGCTGTCTACTCTACACAGCACTAGCTGAGGTGGCTTGGGTTGGCCTGGAAGACTCCAAGACAATTCACTCACAAAGCTAGTAAGTTGGTGCCGGCTGTCAGCTTGGTGCTCGGCTGGGGATGAAGGTTGGGGCTTCAATTTCTCTCCAAGGGGCTGACTGGACTCCCACACAGTGAGGTAGCTGGCTTTCAAGAACGAGTGTTCCAAGAGACCCAGGCATAATCAAGAAGGCTTTTTCTGACCTAGCTTCAGAAGTCCCAGAACATCACTTCCACCACATTCTGTTAGTTAAGTCACTGAGGCCAACTCAGAGTCAAAGGGAGGACAATTAGATTTCAATCCTCAATGGGAGGAGAATCAAAGGACCAGCCGCCATCTTCACCACGGAGCTCCTGGTGTGTAGCTGCAGGGGAGGGATGAATTAGTTTCCTGTGGCTGCTGTAAAAAGTACCACAAAGTTGGTCAACAACCGAAATTTATTCTCTCACAGTTCTGGGGGCCAAAAGTCCAAAATCAGTATCACTGGGCTGAAATCACGGTGTCAGCAGGACTGCGCTCCCTCCAGAGGCTCTAGGGAGAATCTGTTCCTTGCCTCTTCTGGCTTCTGGTGGCTGCTGGCATTTCTTGGCTTGTGGCCACATCTTCAAATCTCTCTCCGCTCCAACTTCGTATCTCTCTTTCTCTGTGTGTGTATGTCAGAGCTCCCCTCTGCCACCCTCTTATGACACATGTGATTACACTTAGGGCCTACTGTGATAACCCAGAGTAATCTCATTTCAATCACATCTGCAAAGACCCTTTTCCGCAAATAAGGTAATATTTACAGGTTCCAGGGCTTAGGACCTGATATCTTTGGGGTGTCATTATCATGCCTCCATCGTTCACAATCATGAAAAATGTGTATGTGAGCTCCTAAATCTGACCCAAGGACTTGCCAAAGAAACTCAGTTCCCTGTGTCATCACGAATCGGAAAGGCATCAGGACCAAAGCCAGGAGCTGGGATGGGAGTCAACTACTCTGTATGACGTCTAGGACACGACGGCCAGCAGCCCAGGAAAATGTCACTGGCATGGATGGGGAACTTACCATTTCTCTAAAATGTTATGCAATTTTTCTTCCCCCAATTTCCTTTTTTTAAAGGTAACAGCTTTATTGACATATAATTGGTTATATTCTTTTTTAACCTGGCCAAAAAACTTCAATAAAGTGAGCTTTAATTTGTCAGTGTTTCAAGGGGTAGTTAGAAGACTATGAAATGCACCCCATAGATTTTAAAAGTTCAGAAATGGGGACAAATATGGAGAATACCCCTAATATTGCTAAAATCTCACAGGAGTCAACTGATGCAAATTCCTTTCCTCTCCCCTAAAACATTTACTCACAACTTAGGTTTCAGTTTCTCTTATAGCCAGTTAAGAACTGATCATCGACAAGCTCCCTGTACCTTAACACATAATGCACTGATACCCCAGACAACTCAGTGAGAGTTACCCTAACCCGGTAAGCCCTCCACTTAATTTAATGTTTAATACAAATTTTAAACTATGTAAAATGTATCCATTTCATGTGCAACAATAATTTATGTAGTGCATCTCCTATATCCTTCAAGTATATGGTGGCAGCTTCAGCTCTCAATCAGAACAGTATGCAGAAGGGGCATACTATTTACAAAGTTCTTGAGCAACAGAACTTTATCAGAGATGAGGCATCTGCTTAAAATATCATCTTTTAAGCTTCTGCATCTGCCTGCATACTATGGGGACCAGTGGACGGTGAATGCTCCGAGACTCCACAGTGGGAACTCTCTTTTAGAGGTCATTTGGATTGCTTTTTGGAGGGTACTGGGAATCAGACGAGGTCCAGCAAGGAGGACAGAGGAGCACACCTCTGATGCAGAAACACCCGGAACCAAAGGAGTTCTCTAAACCCAGCCAGGACCAGAACTGGCCCTCCGGGGCATTCCCTCTGCTAGACAGACATCACAAAGGGACTGAGTTGCTTAAACTGAGTTTTAAAAACAAATTCCCATGCACTTGCACTCTCTCTTTCTCTGTGTCTCTTTCTGTCTTTCTCTCTGTCTGTTTCCACCTCTGTCTTTCTGACTCTCTCTCATGATGCAAAGATCAGATCTAAGTATACTCTTTTTATAGATTTAAGAAATTTTCCCCTAATCTCTTCAATTTCTAAGAATTTCCAGTTTTTCTTTCCCCACCTGATAGAGAACGACAAACAATAGCACAGAGCAGATAAACAACCCCACCTGCCTTACACATAAAGTGTCTCTGGTGGGTAAGGTAATACGCAGGGATGCTGGCCCTTCTGAATACTCCTCCACCCTCACAGGACATAGGTGTAGGTCTCAATGCCAACTCCACTCCGAAAAGAAGAGGTGAAAAGTAAGACTCACACCTCTACAGTTCTTGGTTTTCAGCCTTCCCTCTAAAGCCCTTTAGGCCATATGCCTTTCAAACAAATAGATCTTTCTGGTCGCCTAGTAGTCTGACAGGGAAGTGGAAGGTTGTAGTTGCTGTACTTCCTGTGGTCTGAATTTTCTGACTCCTGTCTATTTTGAAGGAGCAGTCGCTAAATTTCATTTTATAGTAGTAATTTCCCAACCAAATTTTACCCAATTGACTTGCTTGACCAAGCAGTGCAATACATTCCTTCTGAAGACACACTATCTGACGCCTTCAGCTTGCTGAACATTCAGAAATCCACATATTTTGGTGCCCATAACTGAGCTGATGCTTAACATGAATCAGCTATGCTTGTTACAAAACTTGTTTATGCCCATTTTATTTGTTTTGGGAATCATATCATGCAATTACAGATTATGTAACCTAATTTAACATGAGTGTGAGAGGGTCGTTGCTGTGGAAATTAAGTTGAACACATTTATGAGTCTCATAACAACTGCATCAAAGTAGGTGCAGGTGTCAATCATAAAAGATAGGAAAGAAATCTTACAAACATACAAGAATTTTACACTCAGATTGCTTTAAGTTTTAGGTTTTCTCTCTATTTTAAAGAGACTAAAACTGGGAACGTTAAACTATGCATTCAAGGTGTTTTTTAATGCAAGAACACTGCTGAGGAATGCAAATGAGCAGACCCATCATCAAAGTAAAACCATTAAAGACTTGAGAGTTGACATACATTTATAAATTTTGAGTCAAAATAAAGTGTTTATATATATTTTTTTTAATCCCCCTTGTTGACCAACTTTTTTTTTCTTTTTATGAGATCTAATCAATACTGATCACAACTGTCAGCTCAGAAGGCTGCACCTACCTCTGGCCCAAAAGGAGGGAAGCAAGCCAAGAGACTCATCCCAAACAGCACAGATGAGAGCAATAAGAATGAGGTAATGGTTTAATTGCTACAAGTCAGTTAAACCACCGAAGGTAAGGGCAGCCTTCCTGTCAATCCATCGCAATGCCCCCCTCCTCCAATCCCCAACGCTGAGAAAGGGACACTAGTTCATACCCATCCTTTTTGTAAAACTCCAGCATCATATTATCCGTGGCAACACTGAGGGGCCGGCGGGCCTGCTCGGGCTGGCGCCGGTCAGCAGGGTCCATGTCTGGGGAGGGCATGGAACTGTAATTGGCGTTGTGGTTCACATGGACTGGACTCCCGTAATTCCCTGTGATGTTGAACTCTATCTCTGCAGGGAAGAAAGAATGGGTGTACATGATCTGTTGGTCTGTCCCGCCCTTCCTGGGCAGCAGAGAGATGAGCAGAGATGGCCTCTCCTTTACACTTCACCCCTAGAAAATTTTGTCCCATGGTTCAAACGTTAAGTCATCTATCGGTATTACTTCATCTTAATATAATTCATCATATTAATAGGTGAACACATGTGCTCACCTATCATATTAATAGGATGGGCATTTAATAAAGCAATTTCCACTTGTGGTTAAAAAACAAACTTAGTTTAAACAGGAACTGATGGGTACTTTCTGAAAAGGACAAAATCATCTATCCCAAACCTTATAGTTAAGAGTGAAACACCACAGCAGTCTTAATCAAATCAGGAAAAGGAGCAAGCCCACTCTCATCACTGTTATTTAACGCTATTGGAGAAGTGGTAGCCAATGCACTCAGTCAAGAAAAATAAAATAAGAGGCCATAGTATTATTTGTAGATGATGATGATGTTGTCTTTCTGGAAAACCAAAAAGAAAAGATTAAAAAGGATTAGAACTAGAGATTTCACGAGGGTTACTAAGGTTGTTAGCTACAGATGGATACACAGGAGTACTCACCCTGTCCTTTCCTAGTCATAGCCTGTTCATCTGCAATGGCAATGAATTAGCTCATCCACTGAACTTACAGAATTATGCCTCCAATTCCCATCTCCTTTATTTCTTTACTCTCATTTCCTACCCTCACCCAACTTTATGCCATCAATAGAACTCTTATGAGAGTAGCAGTTCAGAGCTTTCACAGTCAAAACACATGAAACAAAATAAAGACAAACTTCTTTGATGTTAGATCAGCACTAGTTGATTGCTTGTGATGGGGGAGAGAACACAGAATCATTAACCTCTTATCCTCACATGAGTTAATGGCTTGCTTCACACAGATGAAAGCATACCCTTAATGTTTACTAAACATAAGGGAGTGTACCTTTTTTTTTCTTAAATGGAACGCTGAATTTAGTGTAACAACTGCTGTCTCTTCAAAGCTGTCACCATTGAGAGTCATATACTTATGCAATGGTACTTCCACGGCTAAGAACATTTATGAAACTCCCTCTGAAGGAGCTGCCTTTAGAGCCTAATTTTGAACCAGGGACAAAAAAGAATCTCACTGCCTTTGAGCCGCACCCTTACAGGCTGAGGGAAGCTCGAAGGACACGGCTTAGAATAAGAAAAGGATGGCACCCAGGTGATCCGTAAGCCCTGAATAAAAGTCCCCTTCATCTCAGGTCTCAGCTTCCCTCTGCATCTGTAAAGCAGAGAATCTCTTTCCTTTCCGCTCCAGTTTTTCATGATTCATAGAGTTAAAGAAACCATGGTGTGGATGTTAGACCAGTAAAATCCATGGACATGGTTAGTGCATGCAGTGGACACCTTCAGGCCAGAGACTAGGAAACTGCCATGATGCTGCCCCCATACTGAGTGCACTTGTGTGTGTGTGTGATGAAAAAACAAAACAAACCGAGGCAGGCCCGGTGGTATAGTGGTTAAGTTCACGCGCTCCACTTTGGTGGCCCAGGAATCGCAGGTTAGAATCCCGGGCGCGGACCTACGCACCACTCATCAAGCCATGTGTGGTGGCGTCCCACGTATAAAATAGAAGAAGATGGGCACAGATGTTAGCTCAGAGCCAATCTTCCTCATCAAAAACAAAACAAAACAAAAGAACCAACACCTCTGGGCAGTGGTACTTGGTTTCAAATGTGCAGAATTCACGGTGACACGCCTGCTTTTCCCCAGCCCCCCACTCCCACACCCGGATGGCACCACGTACCTCCAGGGAAGAACCAGTCTGCATGCTGGATGATGGGTTCAATGATCCCAACGATCTGCAGTGAAACCGTGGTCATCATCTCCGTGATGTTCCTGCAAGCACAGAGTAGAGGAGGGCGGGGGGGTTACCAGCCGAGGCAGGGTGAGAGGCACTTTCCCCATCTACAGAAAGCAAATAACCACAGAAGTCCTCCTTCTAGGGGACGTGTAAATGAGTAATATACACAAAATCACCAAGGATGAGGCACCTTTCAACTTGAAGTATGATTCTCATAATAACCAGCCTCATCCTCTTTCCAACTCTGTTCTCTCTTTTGAGACAGCCCTCTATCCCTCTGGGTCCTGATGCTGGGATGCGTGTTCTTCAGAGTGTCAGGGAGGCCTGAACAAGCTTACCTTGCCTAGTGCTGACCTAGGTTAGCTCAGAAAAGACCCTCACTGCAGACTAGTAGCTCTGAGACTATCAGTGAGAAAGATCTGCAGAATTCTGGGCCTCCCCCTGAGCCTAAAAAAGGAGCAGGCCAAAACAAAAATATGACTTGACAAATAAATGAGGCTGGTGATTATCTGGGGCCCTGGTCACCCCGCCCAGGCCCCTGGGGCCCCATACATTATCCATATGCGCCTTCCTCCCTGTACTCACCCTTCTGCTTGTGGCCATAGGAGGTTGGGTCCTAACACAATTGCCATGTTACTGGGAGTCATCTTGTTCACATCTTGATATTCTGACAGCTTGGATAAAAATTTGATCAAGTATCTGCAAGGAAGTTAGAAGGGCCAAGTTTAACTAGGGCTCAACACCAGCCGTGTTCCCCCAGCTCTGGGTAGAAACTTCTCTCATGTAGCACATCTTCTGACAATGAGACTCCTGCATCCTGCAATATGGTGAAGACGCATCATGTGTCAGGACAGGAGAATGCTCCAGAAACAGACTCCGATCTCACCTGGCTAGTGTCTACATCTGCTTCATAAACCCTGGCCAGAGCAATTCTTCATCTTTCCTTTTGACAGTATATAATGACCTAAAGTTCCTCCTCCTTTTCAAACCTGTCACTTGCCATCCTCTCTGTGTGCAGAGGTGAGAAGTAAAGTGTCTAGGTGTCATCGGCAGGACATCTACATGCGAGGGTGGTATCCCCTGGGATTAGTCTCAGTGGGGCTTTGAGAGCCAATGAAGAAAAAGTTAAACGTAGACTTAGCACATGACCCAGCAATTCCACTCCTAGAGATACCCAAGAGAAACATGTCCACACACAAACTTGTACACCGATGTTCACAGTACCATTATTCATTACAGCCCAAAAGTGGAGACTACACAAACGTCCATCAAGAGGTGAACAGATAATGTACTAAATGTAGTCTATCCATACAATGGAATACCATTCAGCCACAAAAAGAAATGAAATACTGACACATGCTACCACATGGATGAACTCTGAAAACATTATGCTAAGTGAAAGAAGCCAGACACAAAAGATAACATGTTATATGATTCTATCTATATTAAATGTCCAGCATAGGAAAATCTATAGAGACAGAGACAGAAAGTAGATTAGTGTTTGCCAGGGGCTGAGTTGGGGGAAATGGGGAGTGACTGCTAATGGGAACAGGGCTTCTTTTTGGGGTGATGAAAATGTTCCAAAATTAAATAGTAGTGATATTTGTACAACGCTACAAATATACAAAAAACCACTAAATTGTACAGTGTAAAAGGGTACAGTGGTGTGTGAATTATACTTCAAGGAACCAATAAGGAAGCTATGCACAAACAAAACACAAAAACAGCTCTGGCAAACAATACTAAAAATCTGCCAGGCTCTGACAAGAGGCCCCCAGACCCCAGGGCACATCTTTTCTCCTGAACGCTCAGTTACAAAAGGCTGTGGTTCTAACCTCATTTTGCTTGGATCACAGTGAAGCTGCCCCCTCAGGAAGTGTTTACTCACCTTCTGTCAGTCTAGCAGAAAGATCACCAGACACGGGGTCCAACCACGTAGCCCTTAAGTTGCTACTGTGTCAACTCCACCCACCTCCTCTTCTGACCATGTCACACCCTCCAAGGACACACACGCCTGGACCAGGACGTGGGCCCGAAGCTGAGAGCAGTCAATCCACGGCTGGCCAGTGGCCTGGGGCTGTAGTTAGCAACACGTGATGAGTTGTACTGATCTTATTGGTACTTTTTTGGATTGTTTTTTTAATTGTGGTAAAATATACAGAAAATTTACCATTTTAACCATTTTTAAGTGTACAGTTCAGTAGCATTAAGTACTTTTCATTGTTACACAGCCATCACCACTATCCATCTCCAGAATTTTTTCATCACCCCAAACTGAAACTCTGTACCCTTTGAACTATAACCGCCCCCCACTCCATACCCTGCTCTGCACAGCCACTGGTAACCACCCATCTACGTTCTGTCTCTATGAATTTGAAGGCTTCAGGTTCCTCAGATAAGTGGAATCATACAGTATTTGTCTTCTTATGTCTGGCTTCTTTCACACAGGATAATGTCTTCAAGGTTCATCTACATTGTAGCAAGAATCAGAAATTCCTTCATTTTAAGGCTGAATATTGCATTGTATGTATATTTTGTTTATCATAAGTAGATGGACATTTGGGCTGTTTCTACCTCTTGGCTATTATGGATAATGCTGCTGTGAACATTAGTGTACAAGTATCAAGTCCCTGCTTTCAAATCTTTTGGGCATACATATACCCAGAAGTGGAATTGCTGGATCGTATGGTAATGCTACATTTAATTTTCTGAGGATCCACCACACCGTCACTCTTGGGATTTTTAACAGGAAAACAGAAATAATCAGGCAGATGGGAGTAGGAGCTGAGGCTGAAAATCTGCATCTAAAGAAGCACCGAGGAGAGGTGGCAGGGCCAGGAGTGGTGCTGGCAAGACAAAGTGATGAGGAAGCAGAAAGTGTGAAGAGCAGAAGTCAGAGTAGAGAAAAGATCTGCAGAGCAGCGGGAAGTAAAATCCCAGGGGGTAGCAAGAAAAGTGAGAGAGACATGTGGAAAATAGCTGGCGAATGGTGGGGCACTGGAGAATATTCTCCTGGCCTCTTCTTCCTGCAGACGAGCTCAAGGACACACCTGCCAACTCTAGCTCCAGGTTTGATCAGCTTCTCCCAGGTGTCCATGAACACCTATCTTTACAATAAGCCCCCAATATCTTGAAATAGCTTGCATTAATCTTTACTCCTTGCAAATCAAAGAACTTAACTGGATTAGCCAATGGCCTCCACAGTCACATAGCACCTTTCAGTCTATTTCCACATCTGCAAACCGGTAATTAACAATCTGACAGGGCTGTTTGAGGTTGAAAAGAGACCATGCATGTTAACAATGCTTTGGACATCATAAAAAGCCGTGCATGCTAGTTACTATGACCTTTAGCCAGGAAACTGTGTGTCTGAGGCTTAAATAACCCTGACCTGAGTGCCTGTAGTACCCACTTACCGGATATTGTTGTGATTGGCCTTGGGCAATTTTTCACAAGCATTCCACAGAGCCTGAAGTCTCTTGTCTTGCTCCTGGATACTGGGAAATTAATAGGCAAAACCACTGATTGAGCATGAATCACTGAAGTCTCACTGGCAATCATATTAAGCAGTCATCATAATATTTGAGAATGGGGAGCCAACTATCATGCCTGACCGTATCAGCAAGCTATAATTATTCAAATATTTGGTTATTATTATTTCCCCCTTTATGTTCTCTGTCTTGTCCTGTGCTATTTTAAAAAACTTCCCCTGCGCATGTCACACGTTCCAGGTGAATGTATCAGGGTGGCAGGTGGCGGCAGGAGGGCAGAGGCCAGACACCTTCTCTGGGGTAGGCTGGCCCATGGTGTTGTCAGGAGGGAGACTGTGGCACAGAAACCAGGAGACAGCATGACAGTCAGGGAGCTCAACCCACTTCCATACCATGCTGGCAGCCTACTGTCCAGTTCAACGGATATTATTTAAAGCATATTAAGCTCCTTGGCATCCAGCTCGTAATAGATGTTCAATAAACACCATTTGACTACGTAAATGATATGAACTCAATATAGACATACGGAAATCTGACCTTTCAAGACATAACTCAGGGTGGATAATTTCCATGAACCAAAGGATTCTCCACTCTACAAAAATGTTTGCTCTAAGGGTTTCTTTATTTTTAAATCCTCTAAGAATTAAAAGAAATTACCTATAGGTGTACATTTTTTTACATACTTTTCATGACAATCTACATCAAGGCTTACATGGTTAGGAAGGCCTTCCACTCAAAGAACCTTTTCTCCAGAAAAACTGAAAGGAAAACACCAGCAGGGTGGGGCCCTGGCTCTGATCCCTTGACGTAGGGCCCAAGGCAGGGCAGTGGCCTTCACCCTCACGCTCCTTCACTGGGTGCCCAGAGTCCTCCCACAGATCCTGACCAAGGCGAGAAAAACTCCCTCGTCCCTCAGTTCAGCCCTGAGGAAGAACTCTGCATTCCCCAAAACAAAATTTTACTGGGAAACTGAAGTGAAAACCAAACATCCCATTTAGAAATGGAAAGGCAACAGATCATATTTGTTAGGTGGTTGTAATTTGATCAAAGGTTGGACAAAGAGGATTTTGTGTAGGGAGGCCATGAAGACCCAGCTCCATCCCGCCTGTGATCTTGTGCCAATTGTTTAATCTCTATGAACCTCATTTTCCTCATATGTAAAATGGGTTTTAAAATAAGAGTACTTCCGGGGCTGGCCTGATGGCGCAAGCAGTTAAGTGCGCATGCTCCGCTGCGGCAGCCCGGGGTTCGCAGGTTTGGATCCCGGCGCGCATCAATGCACTGCTTGTCGAGCCATGCTGCGGCGGTGTCCCATATAAAGTGGAGGAAGATGAGCACGGATGTTAGCTCAGGGCCAATCTTCCTCAGAGAAAAAGAGGAGGATTGGCATCAGATGTTAGCTCAGGGCTGATCTTCCTCACAAAAATAAACAAATAAATAAATCAGTAAATAAATAAATAAATTAAATAAAATAAGAGTACTTCCCCCAGAGTTGCTGTGAGCAGTTTAAAGGGATCTGTACAAAGTGCTCAGCAGAGCACCTGGTTCCTCGAAAGCTCTCAATGTTAGCCACGGCTGCTGCCTCTGCTGTCACCTCCGCCTGCAGCTGAGGCACCTCCTATGGCACAAGGTCCCGCTCCTTTTTCTACTCCTCAGTCCTTTCTAAGGTGAAAGGGTAGATGCTGCCACGGCCTTTCATTCAATAACAATCAACAAGCACTGTGTGCGAGGCACTGTGCTAAGGGCTGGGAAGCGGTAAGCAAAAAGGAGGTCATTGCTCTCAAAGCTCACAACCTAATCAGCTACACGAACACGGCCGCGAACCGGCGATCAGTTCTATGCAGAGAATGAACACAGGGGACGGGACAGATCATGATTGCCCGCTGCTTTACATCGGTTATTCAGGAAGCCCTGTCTGCGGTTATATTTAAGGTGGGGCCCAAATAATCAGAAGGAGCCCACCGGTCAAAGGTTTTGGGGAACAGTCGCATCAGAGGGAATGGCCAGTGTGAAGGAGAGGGCACTTCCATCCTGAGGAAGGTGTCCCAGGAATGACTGGAGCCTCAGTCCTTCCGGCATCCTCTCTCAGGCATCTCTCAGCCTCTGGGCTACTCTGAACCTCTATCCCACATGACTCTAGCATGGAAGCGCTTCATTTATGGGGCTTGCAAAGATGTGTCTTGAATTTCAGGCCATCTTGCACTGTCCTGGCGATCCCTAACTCTAGACCTTGCTGTTTTCCTGGCTCCCTCTCCAACTCCTGGCTCTCCCATCCCCTGGCAGACCCGGCTGTGTCCTGCAAAGTCTGCCTGAAGTGCAGTCCCCTATTAGGGTTAGTGTGGCAATTTGGTTAGATTCAGCTTCATCAAAGGTCAATGGTTATCAACCCAATAGCCTTGGGAACTTTGAAACAAAGAGCCTAGACCAATTAAATCAGAATCTCTGAAAAAAAAGTCCAGGCATTGGTATTTTTTTAAAAGCTTCCCAGGAGATTCTGATGCACACAGAGGGTTGGGAATGGCTGTCCTAGGTAAAATTACTTTCTTTAGAGGTTGTGACCTTAACAGCAGCCGCCATCCTTCCCAGAGTCTTTAGGCACAATACATCCTCTAGGGGCAGAAATAAGTCTCTGCTTTTCCTTGGTTCAAAGACACTGAGTTCTTTGAGGTATCGAGATCATTCCTATTTCCTAATGGAGACCCAATTTTGCAAATGAGGTGGGAGGAGTGTCTCTCAGATAGAACCTGAAGCACCAGGCTGTCTTCCCTTTCTCTAGTTTTATATCAAGATCACTCATATATTCAGTAAATAAAAGGGACAGTTTCCATCAAAGGACATGTTCTCACTTATCTTCCTCCCCAGGACCATGGTGTTGTTCTAGAAAGGCATAAGGTGCTGTGGCTACGTGCATGGGTTCAGAAACCGGACTCCTTGGATTCAAGTCCCCACTCTGTCACTTATAGATGGCAAATAACCTGCCATTACATACCTGTTCTACGACCGAACTTCCTCATCTGTAAGATGGAGGAAACAGCACAATCCACTTCATAGTGTTTGTAAAATTAGATGAGTTGAAACCATATAATGAGCTTAGAACATGCTGAGTCTCTAATAAACACTCAACAAATGGTATCACTTATGATTCTTAATGTCATCATGGAACTCAACACTCACTCTCCACAGTGAGATATAACGATGCCATATATTCAGCCAGCCCTTTCAAAACGCATAATTTCTATTCTACTTTGGAAAAATAAAATAGCATTGTACAATTTGGTTGGAGCCAGCTTTCTCCAACTCGACACATACTAACCTGGCTTCACTTCCAGGTCAGCTGGCTTCTCGTTCAGCCCGCAGTTCTTAAAGAAGCAGACACACACTCCAGTGTTCTTTCTGACAAGCTAGCTGGCTGCTCTTTACGACTAAACCCCAAGAGTAGAGATCTTGAGAAATCATGTCCTTCCACGCGCACCAGGCTGACGTAGCCATCTGCTCCAGTCCTGCTCTCATGAAACATTCTTACCCCTCCTTCATCTCCTCCTCCCGGACCATCTCTACCGTCATCTCTACCACCCTCTCTCCAGCAACAATTCTCTTGTTTCCTCACTAGCCACGTCCCTTTATTCAGTAAAACTGGATTCCTCCAAACAATAGCATTTCACTTAAGATAGCTCTTACTAATGGCCAAAAGGAATATATAACACAATCCTAATACATGCATCAAATGAGGAGAGAAGCCAGGGATCAAAAAGGAACCACGCTCTGGAGTCACAAAAGGTGACGTGGCTGTGGCTTCACCTGCTTTGCAAGGTCCCGCTTGGGCCTTGTTTCTCTCGCCTCCTGGCTGAGGCCCTCTCCCTCAGGCTCATCTTCAGGAGGGTGGAACGGTGTCCACTGCCCAGATGTTATATCTTTGTGTTAGTTATTAATTAGTTGTTATTAAAATATTTTAACTATTACAGATAAGTGTAATAGACCCCTGCGACCACTCCCTTGTCCTATTCTTTTCCCCAGAAGGAATCACTACCATCAGCCTGTGTGAGCCCTTCCAGAACCTTCTTCTATGCATTTACACATATACAGAGGAACTACTAAAATTGCATTGTTTTGAGTACATTGGGTGTTTTTTTTCTTTTTACACAGAATATCATATGTGTCCTGTTAACTTGCTTTATTTCACTCAGCAATAAATCTTCATACCTTTTCATGTTAGCATGAATAGCTCTACCTATTTTTTTAACTGCTGTAGAGTATGTCACAGTATAGATATACCATAGCTTATTTAGCTGCTCCCCATATCCCCCACCAATGAACATTTAATAACTTTTAGTTTTTTGCTATTCCAAATAGTGCTGCAATCAATAACCTTGGCCATGCTTCTTGGACACACGTGTAAGTATTTCTCCATAACAGATACCAAGAAATGGAGTGGCTGGATCATAGGTTACATGCTTTCATAATTTCAATAATACCTCCAAACAAACTCCAACTCACAAGGCACTCCAAAACGTAGTGTACTCACTTGGAAGCCTGAATCCACTCGTCATAGAGTTCAAAGGTCATAAGAGGTTCTGGCAACTCTCGGAGGTAAGATTTCAAAGCTCCTGGGTAAGAATATAATACTGGCTGTGAGCTATTATGACATGGCAGAGACAAGTTCCACCAGGCAGCATCACCCATGTGGGTTACATCGAGGATGGGCTCCCTGACCTACATGACAAGATCAAATGGTGGCTTTCCACGTGAATGGATCCGAGGCCCTGGCATGGCAGCGGGACCCTGGGCTGACAATCACAGTGGCCTCCCCCCGCTTATTTCACACCATCATCTCATCTTCTCTTTGCACGCTGGAGAAGCTTTCCTTCAAGGGGCCATAGCTACCAGGCCTAAAACTAGGCCCTGAGCGGACACATCTGAATCATGCTGGGAAGCCATCGGCTCAAGTGTCCCTGACACGTGGCCACACACCCTCCATGCTCATCCTTCCCCATAGCCTCTAGAGCATACGGGAGCACCTTGCTGAGAGGTGTGGGTGCCCACCTGCAATTGCATGAGGGTCCGCCGAGTACTCCTGCACATCCACCACACAGCAGTCCAGGGCAGCTTTCAGCTTCTTCAGCTTGGATGCCGACGGAGCCACTCGGAAGAGTCCCTACAACAGGACAGAGGGTCAGTGGACAGCCCTGCACTCAAAGGCACAAAAGCAAAGCCAACAGACTGAAAGTCTACCCCCTCCTCTCCTCCGAAACCTCCTAGATGCATTTTGCGCAACACTATTTTCAACACGGTAGCTGCCTGTTTTCTAAATGTCTCCTACTTTACACATAAGCGACCTGAGAGGAGGAACTGGGCCTTACCCACTGCTGTGTCCCCAGTGCCTACTATGGGTGACTCATCGTTCTGGCTCAGTGAGTATTCGTTGGATAAATGTACCTTGGGCACTCTGACTTCTTGTTCTGCGTACTTAAGATATATTTTGGGGAAGAATCTGACAGAGACCTGGTCAGACTTAGGGGTCTAGGAAGCTGGATGTAAAAAAGTCTACAGGGGGTGTGTGTCTGTGTGCCTATGCGTGTTGGGAGGCACAGGGCTATACTTTGAGAACCAAAGAAAGTCCACCTCATCAGCAGAAGGGCAGACTGGGTGTGATCTGTGAGGGAGCGATGCCTCCTTCAGCCTCTCCATGTTCCACTCTAAGAGTGACTTTTGAATCACTGTCACCTCTTCCAGGTGAACCACTGCACCCTGTAGAGCAAATGTGAGCTCCGAAGAGAAAGAGAAGAGGACAAGGGTGTGTGGGAGAGGAGATGAATGCAAGTCAGAGTTGGAAAGGAACCCCCGAGTCATGGGTAAGTTAGACATGGGCTGAAGACCTATTGCTTTCTGTTTCACCTTCTCAGCTCCTTGCATTCTGCGATGCAACCCACAGACTGACACAGGCTGGCAGAATACTCCTTGCTCCTTTAACTATTTATGGCCAGACTGCCAAGTTCCTTTGGAAGAAAATGTTCCTGGTCTGGAATACTGAGTTTCTGGCCTGCTAAGATCACTAACCCCCTTCTCAGTATAGGGTATGTCAGATAAATGGATGTCCGAAGTTCTTTGGCGTATACGTGAGGAAGCTCCATAAACATGTTTGGATGAGTGTATAAGTAAGGCTGCTATGACAAAGAGAACAAGCTACAGCACACATTAAAGGATTTACATCCTCATAAAAGCATGCCATAGCTGTGGAAGAAGAACAATAGCATTTGGTGATGAACAATGCCAGGGAGAAGGAAGTAGGATTGTCAAATAGAAGCCCATAGATTTCTGATTGTGTAACTGAGAAAGCTACTGCACTGAGTGACATATAAAAACTAGGAGGAGGAGGAGGAGGAAGGGATGGCTAAAATAGCCAGTGAGCCCAGTTCTCAGGGTGTTAGAGGAAAATCTGCATGGAAATGTTGAAGAAATGGCAGCCAACATGGAAGCAGAGCCCGGAGGAGAGTGAGGACCCCGAATCCTCACTGAGGTTGAGGCAAAGCTCTAGGAGAGGATGATTACACCGTAGGAAAGATCAGAGAGAGAGAAAGGCAGGGCCGGGACGGTGGTGCTGAACAGATAATCCCGATGCCACTTAGGGGGGCAGGAGGGGAACTGGGGAGCTGAGGGATGGAGGCGCTGGTTTCAAGGATGGCTACATTAGGAACTGCACAGGCCAGGACCTGGCCAAGGCGGCTGGACCAAGTCGTGGGACTTGCAGTCCGGGGGGGGTCCCTGGGGGTCACTGGAGGCGGGCTTATTCCAGGGCTGGGGGCAGAAGTGACACTGTAGGAAGAAGAGGAGTAAGTGAGGGGTGGTAAGGACGCAGAGGCAGCAAATCTTGAGAATTATTAAGAATTGGGTAGCACAAGAAACAAAACCAAAGAGCTAGAGAAGGAAGATGAGGCTGCCGCTGGGTTGAGAGAGGACATCTTTCTAGGCTAGGGGAAACCTGAGCAGATCTGTTCCTAAAGGAGAAGAGCTGATGCAAAGTAGGGAAAACGCAAGTGAGGGAGTGAGGTCTGGCGAGAGGCGGAAAGGCCCAGAAAGGGCAGATGGAAGAGCCAAGACAAGACAGGGGACGTCAGAGACCCTGTTCTCCAAGAACCAGCCTATACTGATCAGACGTTTGAAGACACTAATAACTTTTACTTTTTGTATATAATAATACAGTTATATTTAAAAACATTCCTTATCTTTTAGAGACGCACACTGAAGTATTACAGATGAGATGACAGAATGTCTGGGATTGGCCTCAAAATATCCAACGCAGGGGTCAGGGGGGCAGGAAATGGAGGCAGAGATGAAATGGGATTGACCACAAGCTGGGTGATGAGGATCATCATCCTATCTTTATGTGTTTCAGTTTTTCCATAATAAAAAAGAAAATGACGGGGAAAGAAAAGGCCCAGTTCACCTCCATGGAACTATCCCACAGAGACTGTAAAGACCCTCTCATATGTTAATTGACAACATACATGAAAATAGCTGGCACTTAAAATGTGGTCAAAAAAAACATTTATTCCCATTCCTTTTGAATATCCAGCATGTAAAACAGGCCTGGTGTGTAGGGGGCAGCCAACATCCATTTGACTGTTCACTGGCTTCCTTCTCTTCCGCAGCCCTCACAGTTTGCCCCACAGAACCTAGTGCTTACTTAAAGATTTAGACTGTTTTGGATTAATCAGGTTTGTTTGATAGATGCTAGACTCATTTCCTGCAATAAGCTCATAAGCCTCCATCTCACTCTTTTATACTTGATCAATAATAAATGCATAGCAGGCCCTAAATAAATATTGATTGGCTGATCGGATCAAAGGGAGATGGAGTAAAGATTTGTAAATAGCCTATATAAGAAAGCAAAGATGAGGGCTATCTCCCAGGAAATGATTTACACAGCAGTAAAGCAAAAGTCACCAATTTAACGTAGACCTTTTTTATACGTGGCTCTTAAAAAGTACTTTCTAACATCTCTAGCAATCATATTTTCAGGATCTCTGTATAAGAGTTATGATCAAAAGGTTGAAAGGTCTATTTTTTAAATTAGGGAAGAAGGAGGAGGGGAGGGGAGGGAGAGACGGAGGAGCAGAGGAAGAACAAGAATAAGAAGACGAAGAGGGAGAAGAAGAGGGGGAGGAGAGGAAGAGGAAGGAGGAGGAGGAAGAGGAGAAGGAGAAGAAAAAGAATGCCCAAATTTTGTTAAATATGAAGAAAGAATGGCTGGAGTGTGGCTATAAGCTCCTCGTGGCCAGCTGAATCAGTCTCCCACAATCCTCTACTCTCCTTGTGAAGTGAAGACTCATGGGAGAGAGCAGGGCCAGTTTGTGTCCCGCACGACAGGGAGCTGTACCGTATCTTAATACATTTGGATTTGCAGGAGCCAGGGAGGCGATGCGAAGAGGAGGCCCTGCAGGCTCTGTTTCACGGAAGAGGAGCCCTGCTCAGCTGGTCCAGCTGTGTCCAGACCCACCTCCTCCTGCATCCCACACTCGAGCAGCATCGTCACACAGGCCTCAATGGGGAAGGCGATCTCCCGGCCACTGATCATGAGATGCTCCTCCAGGGGCTTCCCGAAGGAAGGCTTCTCCACCCAGGCCTCTGAAGGGGCAGAGCAAGAAAGGGGTCAGTCAGCAGTTAGTGAAGACCACTGATACTGGTATAGTTCCCTCCTCTGGTCACACACATTCTCCTAAGACTACCAAAGACATGGAGGCCCAGTTGAGTCTCCATTCTTGGGGTTTACGGGATGACGGAGAGGACTGGGCAGAGCAGATTGCTAACCAGCTGCTTCCAGAGCTGCTGGGCTTCACACACATCCATGCACACCCCTCTGACTCATCCCCTTGAGGGGGCAGTGTGTGTGAGTGTGCTGTACATCACTGCAACTGGATCAAGGCAGCAGGTTATGAAGTTCTAGCGGCTCATCTAAATGTGCCCATGCTGGGGAGAGCATGAGGGTGAGCAAAGCATAGGGGATCAGCCTCACCTGGGAAGACAAGCAGGCCCCCCCCAAGACCCCCCACAAGGAAGGTTTGCACTTACCCTGTTGTGCTTTTATCTGAGGCAACACAGCCTGCAAGAGTGTCAACGACTTCCTATGGTATTCAGCTTGCACTTCTATTAGCTGAGAAAACACAAGGGCAGGCGTTACTCTTTGCCAAAGGATGGGCAGCACAGGCTGCTGTGCCATGCGGGCACTCTGCAGGAAGGTGGTGCCTTATTCATGGGGAAGGAGGTGGAGTCCCCTGCTCCCTCCTTAATCCACCTAAAATGATGGGCACGCTTCCTCCTTAGCCCCTGTAGCAAAGGAGTGACCACGAGTGGAAATTTGGGAGACAGGAAAATCATGGAGGAATGGGGGACCACCCCAGAGCTAGAGCCTGCCTTAGAGAGCTTGCCTTCACTGCCACCTTCCCTTAATGAGCACCCTATCCTCAAAGCAAAAGTCAACAAAGAGAAGTACAACAATGGGAAAATATAACTGGAAAACACACTTAGAAATGCATTTGTCTATAAGATAGAGCTAAATGCCATTAGCCTGTATGTATCTTGGTTTCTGCAAAATAAGCTTAATATATAACTGATCAGAAAACATGCGGCTGGATCCACAATCCTCTCCAAGTACCTTGGGCGGTAAAATTGCTTTGGTTATAGTGACATAGTCCAGAGAACAAATTCCTTCAAGATGTTCTATTTTGACGATCCCACTACTACAAAAGCTGCTGGAATGTTGATAAGAGCAGATGAAAACGCATGAACAATGGTCACTTCATTTATTTTCTGAATCTCTCCCCCACCCCCCAAAAGACAATTGGGCATGTATGAGGGAAAGGGAGGGAATCACTGTTTAAAAGCCTGGTGTGGCGGGTAGATACTATTATCCCCAAGTAAAACTAAAGAGGAATTTTTTTTTTTAATCAGAATATAGAAATAAATGGTACACAAATGACAATTAGGGAGTCTAATAAAGCTTGGAACGCCAACAATTTCATTAGTTTTAGAAACCCTAAAATTAAAAATTATCTCCACAAATAAAACCAATGGAATATACTTGAAAAAAATATTACTCTTTTAAGATAAACCTTCCAAGTTTTGGAATGGAAGGAATGCATATCAGCTCTTTTTCAGGGTAGAAGGTACTCATCTGAACTTCTGGACCAGTGATGTTGGGAGACTGCTAATAGCCCACAGCTCTTCTATCATTACTCATCAAAGCATTTTAAACTTTTCAGGATTTCTCCTCCTTTTTCTTCTCTTTACCTTCCTTCATTATCATTCCATCACTTCCCTTACCATAAATAAGAACTTTTAGGTTTGAGTTTTCTTCCCAACTTTAAAAGCAGGTGAGCTTACCTGTATTTTTAACTTGTAGTTTTTCTCTCAAGTTTTTTTTTTTGACTTGCCTTGCATTTACCCTGGTAAAGAGCCAGGGTGCTAATCATTTGGACCAGATAATTCAAGTAAGGATGACTCAGATCCTGTTTCTCTACTCTCTAAATCTGCTCTTATTGATGAGAGACAGGCAGACAGGCCACATCAATCATCGTTTATCTACTTGTCATTGTCTTTGGCAAAAATCTAGATCGAAAACAAATATGTGCTGGGGGCGGGGTTCTCTTCTGATCCTTCTTCCCAAGCTCCTTGTTTAGGACAGACCAGGGTTTCTCAACCTTGGCCCTACTGACATTTTGGGCTGGATAATCCTTTGTTGTGGGGGCTGTCCTGTGCATTGCAGGATGTTTAGCAGCATCCCTGACCTCCATCCGCTAGACACCAGTAGCACCTCCACCCCATGGTAACAGCCAAAAATGTCTCCAGACATGACCAAATGTCCACTGGAAGAAGGGAAAAAATCACCCCGGGTTGAGAACCACTGCCATAGATCAGTGAGTTGCAAGAATCTTCATAAACACAGTTAAGTTTTATTCTTAGGTTTAGGAGAAATCCATACAAGGAGAAATAGAAGGCAGGATTTATTCACAGGTAGAACAAAGTCCCACTCTTGTCCAAGACATGCTCAACCAAGGGGCCCTCAGTTCCATACCCACATTCCTTCCTGTCCACACCACGACTCTGCCGAACAGACTTTAAGCAGTTTCACCTCTCTGGACGCTTACCGTTTGAAAGTAGTTTGCATAGTCAATTTCTTTGGCCACAAAACTGTACATGTCAGCAGAGAGCTGGTCCTGTGGAAAGTAAGATGCACAACCAAGATAAAACATAAAACAATAGAGAGTAGCTAATGCATGAGTCTAGACATGAGAAAAGAAAGAGGCTTAACCACTGTTTAAGCTCATTTTTAATAATACTCGACATAGTATAAACTTTGCCCGTGGACTTTTCCATGTTTCCCAACCACGGCGCGAGAGGATGAGTAAGTGTGAAAAGAACACCTATGCCAGTAGTTCTCCCAAGGATGTGAACACAGGGGCCACGTGGCGAGTTAGGAAAGCTGGCGTGGAGGAGTGACGTGCAAATTACTTCCGTACATCTCTGCCGCTCGAGCCACCATTCTGAAGCAACCTCCAAGTACAACCTGCTCTTGCTCTCCTTGTTCTGCCATTTCTTCTCCTTGATCATCTACTGCTTTTTCTCCTTCATTCTCAGTACTGACTGGTTGGTCACAAGCATAAGGGAAAGAGACAGAAACATGCTAATTTGGGGAAAGTTGGATAGACGGGTGGGCAGGGCAAGGATTGCTGATTCAAACCTTGGCAAAACCTGGACTCATCCAACACCACACACAACCTCACAGTGTGAAAAGTCCTTTGCCGTTCAGCTCTCCACGGGATAGGGGGCAATGACCTAATGCCAGGTCTGAATCTGGAATGTGTTGTCTGAGAAGTTCTCAGTTCCAAAGAAACACCCATAGCAACGTATAATAAAAGTACATTTTGAGCAGGATGTAGACTGTCACTAACCATATTTTTGAGCATGTCACGTCTCTGAATTTGTCTGTGCAAGTCATATGATCTCTAAAGTCCCTCCCTATTCAGTAGCCTCAGGTAGGAGACTTCAGAAGAGATGCTTAGTTGAGGAGAGAAGAGTCTACAATATTCGGGTGGAGGTAAACATGGGACAGCACAAGAAAGCTGATCGAGATGCTCAATGAATTAAAGCAGGTAACTACACGCTTCAGGAAGAGCCTGTTTCATGGAACCTCAAGCATTCTGCACCAACCCCACAACCCTCAGCCCCTCCAGCTGCCAAATAAGCCTCTTCTCAGTAAGAGCACTGGGATGTGAGGAGCAATCTGTTTCCTTCTCCAGTATCCTTGATGGGCAAGCCATTGCCCGGAACATCCTCCAAGAGTTCATGCACACAAGGCAACAGAACCAAGGTGCAGAGTTAAGGGGAAATCTGCTCTCTGGAGAGCTTTAAGCACAGATGAGTCAATGCTACGCTTGGTCCCATTTCAGAGAATGAAGAAAGGGAAAAAATGAATTAACACTGGTTGAGAATACTCTAGGTGCCAGGCACAATGTCACACAGAATTCTCATCTAACTCTTAGGAAAGTGTTGAATTTCCAATTTCAGATGAGTAGCTCCCAGGAGTTCAAGGATCTTACCTGTCTGTCCTCCACTGTCTCAAAAGTGCTTCAGATGATAGTGGCTTAATAACTATTTGCTGAAAGAACAAATGAAGAAGTGGAGGCTCAGCAGTGGTAACCTTCCCTGAAAATAAAATGGGCTCTACAACCACACCCCTCAACTCCCCTTCACCAGGGCTCCCCTAAAAATGAATGTCTGTAGGGCTGCCGAGTATATCAGAGTTTCAAGAGAAAGTGGTTTTGTCAGGAACCAGCCTCGTCTGCCATTCCTGCAGCAGTGCTGTTCAGGAGACATTCACCACCAGCCTGGCAGTCCTGAGGGAGATATTCAAGTCAAGGAAAAACAAAGGGTCGAACGATAAAAATGGCTCAGCAGATAGAGGAAAGGAAGGGACTCCCCTGGCGGACTAAATGCCGCATCTAATACACTTTCAAGGACTCAGCATTTGAGCTTGGCCAACAGCTGATCTTAGAGAATGCAGACCGCCTATGTGTGCTCAGGAACACGAAAGGATTTCTGAAGGTGCAATGAGATTACTGTCTCGTTAAGTTAACAACATGGATTCCACATAAGCCACAGTGCAAGCAAGAAATACGTGGAAACTATACACCAGATATCTATTTATCTAAATCATTGGCGAATTTTCTTTACAAGGAGAAAAAAACTTTCATCAACAGTCACCAGAGTTTAATGTAATTTTATTATTTTTTTGTTTTTTGAGGAAGATCAGCCCTGAGCTAACAACCATGCTAATCCTCCTCTTTTTTTTTACTAAGGAAGACCGGCTCTGAGCTAACATCTATTACCAATCCTCCTCCTTTTTTCTCCCCCAAAGCCCCAGTAGATAGTTGTATGTCATAGTTGCACATCCTTCTAGTTGCTGTATGTGGGGCCCGGCCTCAGCATGGCTGGAGAAGCGGTGCGTCAGTGCGCGCCCGGGATCCAAACCCGGGCCGCCAGTAGCAGAGTGTGCCCACTTAACCACTAAGCCACGGGGCCAGCCCCTAATGTAATTTTAAAAATCATTTGTTTTCTGATTTTGCAACTAATTCACACTCAGAAAAATACAAAGTAAATAACCAAATTCACCTGTAACCTTATCACGCTGAGATAACCGCTAAAAATGCTGTGAGGAATGCTCATTTTGTATCTATTTTAATCAGTTGTATGTTTTGTATGATTGCTTGGTTTACAAAAAGCAGGACCAGATTGCTTTGTAGCACATTTACTCCCAGATAAACATGCTTTCTAATGGTCACATGATGTTTAATATGTGGATGGACTGTGTTTCTATTGTTGGACATAGTGTTTCTAATTTATTACTATTATAATAACACTTGAATAAGTATCTGTTTATACAGGTTTGCACTCATCTCTTGATTATTTCATTAGGATAAATTCTGTAGTTAAAATTAATTTTGGTTAAATAAATCCTTATAGTTAAAATTTAAAAATATTAGAAAGATAATACTGAGTTGAGACATTAGGGCTTTTGATAAATACTGCCAAATAACCAGAAAATTCATTTATACTATAAGGAGTAACCCAAAAGTGTTTTGTTTGTTTTCCACAATAACCTCTTAATTGTTTAACTGTTATCAAATTTATTGAGGAAATTTAAATAATATGTTAATATGCATTTTTTTGATGAAGAGGTTAACTTTCTTTTAGATTTATAGTCTATTTGTATCATCCATCATCAATTCCTTGTTGACATCGAGTTTCCATTTTCCTACAGAAGTCTTCATCTATTTCTTATTTATAAGATTTGTAAGAGTTCTTTAGATTGATGAGACCATTGGCTATTGGCTTTATCAAATACTACTAGTATTTTCCCCAATTTGCCATTTGCCTTTTGATACTATTTACAACTTTTTATTTTGGTACTGCACATTTTTTTATAGTTTTTCCATGTAGTAGTATCTATTAAATTTTTCTCTTTATGATTTCTTCCTTTGATAATCTGCTTAGGGCTTCTCAAACAACAATATAAATATCCATAAATATGTTTAGTAGAGAATATAACATTTAAATCGTTTTAATAAATTTGGAATTTATTTTGTTACTAGTATCACTTACAGAATTGTTTTTTCCCAAAGAGCTAACTAAATGTCTCAGAATTGTTCATGAATAGAATAGACTGTCCCTATGGACTGGAAAGGTCACAGATGAAACTTCTCATATACTTACATTTTGGATTTTCTTCTGGCTGGGATGTATTGTTTGTTTTTTACTGATTTATTTTTTTTTAAATACTACCTATATTTTAATTACATAACTCATAAAACATTTTAAGAGATAGTAATTCAAAGCTCCAATAATTTTCCCACATTAACTTTAGAAACCTTTTATCACCCTTTGAAACATTTATTACAATTATATCAACTTACCACAGTTCTAATCAAATTGATTTGGGGATATTCAAATTTTTACAATATTGACTCTTCTCCTCTAGGAACATCTCTCAATTTTATAAAGTCTTTGATTTCTTCAGTCATATTTTATAATTATCCTATATTGCATGATGTTATTGTAGGATTTTAAATATTTCTATTGTTAAAAAAAAGTCCCAAGATACTTATAAACACTGGTCTCTTGAACACTCTTTCTTGGTAGAAAGTAAAACCTTGATTTTTATTGTTGATTTCTGGTTTCCAATCTGGCATGTAAGGAGTTTAGAAGTCACCACTCAGTCCTAACAACATGTAAAAAGCTGAGCAAACTGAAAAACCAACAACTCTCTTTAGATCCATCAGAGAAGTGAGGTCACATGGCAAATCGCTGCCCCCCTAACTGGAGAGACACACAGGTGAATATGAGAATCACAACATACCAGAGCAGAAATCCATGAGCTGAAACCTCCTAGAAACCAGTGCTGAGTAGGAAAACCTGAACTGTAATTGACAAATTGCTGGGGGCTCAGTGTGGGTATGTCTGAGAATTAAAACTCTAAGGGGGGACTGGCCTGGTGGCGTAGTGGTTCAGTTCGTGTGCTCCACTTCGGCAGCCCGGGGTTCAGAGGTTTGGATCCCAGGCTCGGACCTATGCACCATTTATCAAGCCACCCTGTGGCAGGTGGCCCACATATAAAGTAGAGGAAGATGGGCACGGATGTTAGCCCAGGGCCAATCTTCCTCAATAAAAAGAGGAGGACTGGCAACGGATGTTAGCTCAGGGCTAATCTTCTTCACAAAAAAAAAAAAAAAAAAAAAAAAAACACAACTCTAAGGGGAGTCAGGCACGGGGCAGGGGCCACACTTTTGTGAGTTTTACCTCCAGGAGCTCTACCAAGTTCTCACAGTGAATATCAGAGAAAATCCTCTCCTGCTTTCAGCAAGGAGAAGGGAAATGGAACTATTGTGAAATACACTTGAATATTGTATTCCTCTTAACAAAGCCTACCCTCAGGAGAAATTATTTTATCCAAGCATAACCTACAGAGGTTTTATCAGAGCCTTACTGATCTGAGGGAAGGGAAATACTCAGTTCTAGCAGACTCTAGCCTTCCACACATTGGAGAAGGGAAATATCCAACTCCTGCCCTCTAGCCATCCTGTCCCATCCAAAACAAAAAAAAAACCTGAGAAGCTGGGAAAAAAACAAAACAAAAACTGTTAGAAGCATTGGTGAAGTT